CTGATCTAAGTTGATCACTTAGTTTTATGAAATAATTTTGCCTAGCATTTCTTGTTTTATTCACGCAAATATTTCTCATTTTTCTAAACTTAGCCCAGTCGTCAGAAGATTTTGTTCGTTTGGCAATTTTGTGTAAACGTTTACGTTTTCTAATAAATAACCTGAGTTCGTTGTGCATCCATGGTGGATCGTTTGGACGGGAAATAATAGTTTTATTCGGTATATTTTCAGTGGCAGTTTCAATTATTGCGTCTGTAACATTATGACAAGCTCGTTCAACATCATTACATATCAAATTGTCCCAGTTTTTATTACTTAGATTTATTTGGTAATCATGAAAATCGGTATTTGAAAAAGACCAAATTTTACGCTTAAAAGTTCTTGCATATGATTTAGGAAATTTGAGTACACAAAATATTGGACAATGATACCTAATATTACTCGGTAATATATTATCACCAACTCCCGAGAACTCGATTACATCTAAATTATTAACTATCAAGAGATCTAATAGCGTTTCAGAATTTTCGGTAAAATGTGTACATTCGGTAATAAGTTGCGACATGCATAGGTCTTTTATTATATCAAGTACCTTGGAATTAGTCGTATTATATATGTTGTCATTAAAATCTCCCGTAATAACTATATTTTTAATTCCAGTATCCTTCGCTTTTTCTATGGAATAAGCAATGTAATCCCACTTACTAGTCTCTAAATTTGGGGGGCGATAGAAAGTTCCTATTAAGAATTTCCTATGATATATATTACATTCAACCCAAATACATTCAATTTCCTCAAGCTCTAAGTCAAATCGTCTTTTACTCGGAATGTTATCTTTCAAGTAAATTATAACACCACCATAATTATTTCCTTTTCTATCTCGTCGAAAAGGTTCTTGAAAACTGTTCAACAGTATACTTTGAGTATCAATGCTGTTATCTAACCAGGTTTCGTTAAAAGTCAATACATCGAATCCCCCAAGCTCAGCTTGAATAATATCTAATTTATGCTTAAGACTTTGTACATTAAGATGTACTATAGAAACTGAGTTTTCCAAAAGAAGTTCGAGAGAATCTGTAGAATTTTCAAAGGATACATCTGATGTAGAAGTGGATAATTCAGATGGACCAGGGTTTTCTTCAATATCACCACATAATAATAATAAGTCTATAATGCAGTATATAAGTTTATCTAGTAGAAATAGTGGATACTCTAGAAGAACTGCTAACCTGTGGATCGAAAGGTTACATTTATTTAGAAAGGGGTTTTCGTAAAATTGGTGTGTCCCAGTATTATACTTAATTATCAACTCTTTGTCACCTAATATTGAATGAGTGAGCATTACAAACATTACTACAGGTAATGCCTTGATTCCGTGATATATTAATAAATTCACCATAAATATTGTTAGTACATCCAAAGAATGCTTAAATTGCAGTTTCTTGGAAAAATCATAGTATGATCCTATCCTGATCCTATGTATAATATTACTAACAGGCATTTATGTAATAGGTGTGTGATAACTACACAAACATATAGAACGATCAATAATGAGGATCAGACATGTGATAGGAAAGACTGCGACATTACACCCATATTTGTAGGTCTTCAGACACTTATTACTTTCAATTCCAGGTTTCAAAGGAGATATACACATATATGAAAACTGTGCATATAAATTCAACAAAAACAATAACGTATTTACAAACTGAAGGAACATTTGTTGAATGTTCGAAAAATGGTTTTAGAAAAACCACGTGATAGGATTGTGGTCTAAATTTAAATAAACAATTTAGATCCTTAAAACAGATAAGGTCTCATAAGTTATCTATGACGGATATAAGAAAGACACTGATAATTGTTTGTATATTATAATGAGCCTATAACTTAGGTGAGTCAGTTAGAATAATCAACAATAGATGTTGTTTTTATATAACTTTGCTGGTCAATTTAGGCACTCAAGGGTCTTTTTTAGTCATGTATAGTCTTTTTAGAACTTACTTAAAAAAATATGTTTCATTTCCATGATGTAATCATATTCGGGAAAAGAACTTATTAACTATGCAACGTTTACTTTTTTCTGATGCATATGTACCTTTCATAGACTTCAGTACAATAAATATTTAATTTTTAATTGTTACCTTTGTACAAAGTCAATATTGTATGCCATCAAAGATCAATGATACTTTCATTTGTACATGTACCTATAATAACTGAGAACAAGTGATTTTGGTTTGCCATGCTTATTGAGTATAAATCCAATATGTTAATAATATCAATGAGATGCAATATCTGGATGCAGCACAACCTCTTTAGAGGGTGTGATAAATGATTCCCCCCACAAAACCACAATTCAGACCAGAATGAAATTTGGCATACATATAGTCATACACATGTTCTATAAATAGCTTATCATATGTAATGGTTTGCTCCATGTTTGTGACGTCACAATGTGAAACTGACGTCAATACGTAGATGACTTGTGACAAAAAAAAAAAATGGTTGACTCAGTCGTAATCGAGCAACGAACGGCTGTAACATGCTTCAAGATCGCGACTGGTAATCCAAACCATGTCGCTGACAAAACTGTGACACTACTGCTTTGAATTCATTTTATAGTCTAAATAGAGGATATTCAGTGTTTTGTAGTTGGATATGGAATATCAGGAGCGGAACAGGATTTTTTAAAATATTTTCACGAGTACGAAGCAGGAGTGAAAATATCAAAAAGTCCTGTCTCATGCATAAAATAAATTCCACACACAACTACAAAATATTGAATTAATTTTTCTGTTTATTACATTTTCTTTGATTTTTCCCTTTGCCTCTGTTTTCGAAACTCGGTGTCATAGACTGTGACCTCAAAGCTGAGCAGTCGAGATGTCATAGCTTAGCGATTTTGAGATTGAAAACATTGTAAACATGGAGTTCAAGATCATATCTGGAAAAACTTTGACAGCAAGGATGGTTTATTTACTTCATCTATCTTATAACAGAATGTCAGAAGGGAAGGAAAGGAAAGGAAGGAAAATCGATAGATTTGCTGCACTTCTGATATTCTTTTACACTGTGACAAAATATCAGTCTTATTCAATAAACAAATTACATTATTCCATTGTTGAATGTGTAATAAAGAAATTCTCACACTAATGCTTGCATGAAATCATGAAATCTTTGTTGCAATTTTTCAGTCTATTTTTGTAACTACACAAGTGTGACTTATAAATACATAAAGCACTCCTCTATGTCATAAAATGAGATGTAGCCAACCTTTCTTCGTAGCCATTAAAAACCATTCACTCAGGCTTCAACTATTTTTTTTTTATCAAAGAAAACAAGTTGGTATATTAGAGTTGTGCAATGTGTACAATGTGTGCACCATACACTGCTTACTTCCGTATCCACAGGCGCACCAAGTAGCGTCAATTTAACCTTCTCATCCCTTAAAGAAGTGTAAATATGGTGTTCATTTTTACCTTCTTTTAAGATGGTCCTCAAAAACCCCTTGAAATTGATTTTTTCAAGTAATCTGGTCAAGGAACAGAGCTTCTTTACAATGAACTTTATAACAGAATTTGTTACACGAAATATCTTCGGCGAAGTATTAAATCCCCAATAAAAATGGTATCGCTTCCAACATGAAATGGAGATTTTAAACGGAATAAAGAGCATAATAAATCTTTTATTTGCTAAGAAGGTAAGAGTGTTGTTTATCTTGAGGTTCGCACTGTAAGCCTGTGAATGGTTACTTCAGACACATTGTTACTGAAGGTTTCTCATATACAGTTATCAGTGGCGACGGGGATAAAAGGTTTTAGTATTCAATAAAAAAGAAAACACCAACTACATTTCATCTAGAATTCAAGTTACATTCCTTTTATTACAAAGAAAAACGAGGCATGCAACTTACCGGTATTTTAAAAACACTCGCTGGGGGAATCTAAGTTAGAGTTATATTTCTTTGTAAATACTTTCGAAATAAACCATATTTACATAGTAGATAGTAGTAAGTTTTATTTTAAGAGAAAGACCAACTGGGTTATACGCCGATACAAATAAACATACATTGTATTTGTTAACTAATACGAAAACATTCATATCATTGGTGTCTCCATAATATCAAAGTATATCTAATGGTTCTCCATACATGTACATGTATTACAGCCATCATTTATAATTCTTATTAATGGAATGCTGATTATAATGTATTTTTCTTTTAAATTTTCGGAAAAAAGTATTAAGAAAAGGTATTAAAAAACCTTAAGATTCACAAAAGGTGTCTGGTTTTATTTTTTTCTCAATCTTTAGAACCGTTCACGGTAGCTCAGTCGGTAGAGCGCTCGCTGCTTGATCGGGAGGTTCGAATCTCGGCCGTGACTGACCTAAGTCGATAAAAAATGGGTAGCAACTGTTCCTTCGCCATGCGCTCGGCACTTTGAAGTGAAAGTTGCGGGTCCTTCGAATGAGACCTTAAAAACCGAGGCCCCGTGTCACGGCAGGCGTTGGCACGATAAAGATCCCTCACTGCTCAATGGCCCTAAGTGCCGAGTAAAGGTCAAAATTTGAAGCCCTTCACCGTTATATGGTGACGTCTCTATATGAAAAAATTCTCGAATGGGACGTAAAACAACATACAATCAATCTCAGTCTTTAGATGTACAAAGACATATTCGATTATCTCTCGCAACACCCCCAATTAAAAGACCTTTCTCAACTAGAAATCTGTGATTTATTCATTGAAACATTGTTCAAATCTTTTGAAAGATAGTTCAATATTTCTCAAAATAAATTTAGACATAATAGTTATCAACGTAGTCGATCCATTTTACTTTGTTTTACGCAATTCAATGAAGGTGCTCAATGGAATTATCGAAGTTTTTTGTGATAAAAAATAAATTTTTAATCAGGATGGCGATTCTTTTTAGTACTAACTAATATCGAACACATGTAATAAATGTAAACGTAATATGGTTAGTAACTACGTAAAGTTGAATCCACACTTTCCAAAAGTTGTTCCTTGACCGCCATCTTTGGGGGAAACCCATAGAATTCTCACACAGGCGTTTGTAACTTTCAGGTTTGTAACTTTGTCATTTTACTTAAAAATAAATGTTGGACTTTGTGTTTTGAATGCCCCTGGATAGTGCTACAGATACAAAGAAAGAGAAAAAAATCGAACACGTTGAATTTATCGCAGAACGCACAAAAGTTTGGTCGTGCAAAGAGAAACAATGCTTTTTTCCCTATCAACCTTTTGTTGACCCCGCAAATGGAAATATATTTTGAAAAAATGTAGATATGACTATTGAGGGCGATTTGATTTTCTATTTGACTTGCCAATTTAAGTGGTAGTCACGTAATTTTAGCAAATATACTTGCAGTATTGAGGTCATGGTCACCTATAAATTTCGATAATGGAAGGGCATAACCAAGTTAAAATTTTAAGCACAGTTTATAAAATATTATGAAATATTCTGGGCACCCATTGTAGTTTGTTAAAAGTGCTGCGATTCGATATAGATTCTACTATTTCATTGTTAAAATTATATTTGTTAGATCATATGCTGAATTTTTTGTTGATCAACTGCATTACAGATAGAATAGTTCATTTTCAAAATTTCACAAGACTCGCAGCACTTTAAATAGTTAATACTTCTAGAATTTATATGTAATAGCTTATCATAATTCACTGAGTGTATGACCTAGCACATGTACATTGCCTCCAATTTTCCTGCATACAAATATACGACTGTGTCAGTTAGCTATAAGGAATGTACGGAAAATATATGAGTAAAATTATTTAAAATCGCAACCAACATGTTATCCCACATGGCAAGATATTTACTTTTAATTAAATAAAATATAATTTGAAGATATTTGAAATGGCCTCATTAAATCAGAGAGAGAGCCAGAGAGAAAATAAAAACAAAGCGAGCGAGAAAGCAATAGATTCAATTTATTTCAGTAAAGCTGTTGTTTTAATGCTAATACCTTTAAAAAGGAATTTTTGTTTCAAGGGGAGAGGAGGGGGAATGTTTTAGAATACTTTTCTGTTGATTTCTAAAGTGAAAAACACTAGTTTTACCAAAATTATAGATTATCTCTCTTTTTTTTCCCAAATAAGTCATGTTTTATGAACATTCACATAAATATCTATATAAATATGAAAAATCATTCAAAGATGTTAACTTTTATAAATTGACTTGTAGGTAAGCGGCAGAACAATACTATCGTTCGCAGTTCTTATTCCTTTATGAAATAATCAAGAGATGTTCATACTATTTAAGATTTCTGGGGGTATAAAATTATTTATTACAATAATGCCAAGTCCTCGGAAGTTCTGCGATTCTAAATGCCGAGTCCGAAACTGAATTTATCAAGTCACAGACGTCGGGCTTGAGGGATTTTGAACCCCTTCAATCTATCGCAAGGTTGATCCTTGACTGATGTCTTTCATACCAATTGTTAGGCCATCCTTTTCACAGTGAATTGTCTTCAGATTTCTCCGTTTACCCGATCATAACAACGAGCACATGGCGAATGTGACAGATCGACAGGGGACGCTCACTCCTCCATGGCACCTGATCCCACATCTGTTTTAAAGGTCCGTGTAAATTTGCTCTGTGAACAATTTCTATTGTTTAATTGGTATCTTTAGTATGATTACTGTTCGTTATCTTTTCATTTCTTGTAGAACATTTTATCCATTCTGACAATGTGTCAAGGTTTTACCTTCCATATTTAACACATCATCTGATGTACTTCTTGAAGGAATTCATAAAAAAAAATGAAGCTTTGTTGCCATTTGTAAGACCGGGGCTTCTGAATTTTGGACATTTAAAAAATGATTGCTTACAGGTTGTCATGTTTTAAATGGTAAATATATGAACATTTCAAACAGCTATACCACCTAAGTAACCCCCCCCCCCCCCCCACAACATTCATTTTATGTACGCATTTAGTATTGTGGATAATGAAATATTTTTTACCTATTAAAAACCATGCAGTCTAAAGTATTTAAGACATCATGATCAGGTCCTGATCCAATATTTTAAAACATGTTGCACAAGCAATTCATACGCTCGTGACAAGTGTTATTCAATAAATCGCTCAGGATGGTGCCTTAATATCATTTGAAATTACTCAAGTTACACCCTTTTATAAAAATTATGTAACTCATATGATGCAAATAATGACAGATCAATATCAGTAACATATGTTGTTTGCAAATTAATATACACTCTGAAGAGCTCTACAATTATATATTATACAGGTTTCATATTCTACATCGCAGAAGGTGATCCAACCACCTACAGCTGGTTGAAATCTATAATAATATTATAACCAATAGTATATCAGGATAAAAGTTTGTGTCCTCTCTCTCTCTCCCTCTCTCTCTCTCTCTTTATATACAGGGGCCGGTAACATACTAGTTTTATTTTACGTAATCACTAACGTTATATATACAAAAAGGAAAAGGGAACCAAAGTCAGCCCGAATTTTCACGGGGTAAGTCTAAAAAATATTCCGTTTCGTATAGAAAATACCTTGCAACCAATAAAATAACAACTGGAATCATACTACAATAACTATTCTTTATTTAAAATGTAAACTCATTCATTTATAAAGCATTTAAGTTGGGTTATACTAACTCGATATCCAGTCGTGCAAGTTGATGTACTTCAAGTCATCCACTAAAAGGAGGTAAAATTCGTATATCAACTCCAATTTTGAAGTCTTTCCGAAGCTGGAAAACGCAAATTTTAGATTCAACCTTCACGAAAATTACTTTCTCATTTGAAATTGCAATTAAAACATACCACCTCCCCGATTTAAAGAATTACGGTGGCTTTTTTTCGTTGTGAAACACGTCTTAAACGATTCGTAAATGATCCTGGTGATATTTCTATTGAAGAATAATTACTGCTGAATGATTCCAGTCGTTATTCCACTGGCTGTAAGGTATTTATTGAAAATACGGCCTGTTTTTCAGTTTGACCCACATATATAAAAATATGATAAGTGTTGAATTTTAAACCAAGTTGTGTATATTCTGAACATTAATTTATTGACTTGTGAACAAATTTCCATTGTGTGCATTAAATTTCAGTAAGTGTATATGAATTAAATGTATTTTGTATGTTGAACACATATTTAAAAGTAATTTAATGTTTCACCTAGTAGTTGGTGAATTTTAATTAAAAAAATATCAATAAGTGTATGTTTTTGTTTTCTTTTCATGGTTAATGATGTAAATGGTAACTGATCTTTGTTTTAGTTTTTAGCTCATCTGAGCTAAAAGCTCAAGTGAGCTTTTCTGATCACATTTTTCTATAGTCCGTCTGTAAACTTTTCACATTTTCGACTTCTTCTCCAGAAGAGGGCCAATTTCAACCAAACTTGCCACAGAGCATCCTCGGGTGAAGGGGGTTCAAGTTTCTTCAAATGAAGGGCCACATCCTCTTTCAAGGGGAGATAATTAAGAATTAGTGAAAAATTAATAGCATCTTTTAAAATCTTCTTCTCAAGAACCACAGGGCCAGGAAAGATGAAACTCATGTGAAAACATCCTCAGGTAGTGTAGATTCAAATTTGTTCAAATTATGACCCCTGGGGGTAGGGCGGGGCCACAATGGAGTATCAAAGTTTTACATAGAAATATATAGGAAAAAATCTTTAAAAATCTTCTTCTCAAGAACAGCAACGCCATGATGAGTCATAATTATATGTAAGTATTATCAGGTAGTGTAGATTCAAGTTTGTTCAAATCATGACCCCGGGGGTAGGGCGGAGCCACAATACATAGAAATATATAGGAAAAATGTTCTTAAGAACAGCAAAGCCATGATTAATCATATTTATATGGAAGGATCCTCAGGTAGTGTAGATTCAAATTTGTTCAAATCATGACCCCCGGGGGTAGGGCGGGGCCACAATGGAGGATCAAATTTATACATAAAAATATATTGGAAAAATCTTAAAAAATCTTCTTCTCAAGAACAGCAAAGCCCTGATTGGTCGTATTTATGTGGAAGCATCCTCAGGTAGTGTTAAATTCTATTTTGTTCAAATCATGACCCCTGGGGATAGGGTGGGGCCACAATGGAGGATCAAAGTTTTACATAAAAATATACAGGAAAATATCTTCTTCTGAAGAACTGCAAAGCCATGATGAGTCAGTTTGTTATGGAAGCATCCTCAGGTAGTGTAGATTCAATTTTCTTAAAATGATGACCCCTCGGGATAGGGTCGGGCAACCATAGGGGATCAAAAATTTTACATAGGAACATATAGGAAAATATCTTCTTCTCAAGAACAGAAAATCATGTTTAGTCATTTTGATATGGAAGCATCCTCAGATAGTGTAGATTCAATTTTGTTCAAATGATGACCCACGGGGGTAAGGTGGGGCCATAATGGGGGATTGAAAGTTTTACAGAAGAACATATAGAAAAAAAAATTCTTCTCAAGTATAGAAAAGCTATGTTTAGTCATATTGATATGGAAGCATCCTCAGGTAGTGTAGATTCGAGTTTGTTCAAATGCTGACCCCTGGATAGGGAGGAGCCACAATCAAATTTTTACAAAGGAATATATGGGAATTTTAAAAAAAAAAAAAAAAAAAAGATCTTCTCAAGTACAACAAAGCCATTTGTTATATTGACATGGAAGCATCATCAGGTAGTTTAAAAGTCAAGCCCCCCTCCCCTCCCCCCGTAATCTTTTCAATACTGAACTGATTTGTGCTTTTGCCTAGCCAATGTGCCCAGGTGAGCGATGTGGCCCATGGGCCTCTTGTTTTCCTCTCACCTAAAACATATGCTTACAGATGTAGGATGTAATCTCTCTGATGTCCACACAAATAAAGACATATAAGTTGACAAAAAAATGTTGACGAAAGTTTTCCATGTAAGTGATTTAAAATAAAAACTAAGTAAGCATTTCTTTCAGGTAATAGTATTGTATTAATTAAATCTGTCAACATTTTATTATTATTATTTTTGTGTGTGTGTGTGAGAGAGGAAGAG